CTCTTCGCGCGCCCATTATATCCACTCTTTGCCTTTTTGATGTTATAACGATGCATAATAGCAATGAATTCAAATTAAAAAATTAGATATGAACCTCGGTAATGAACGCTACCTGAAATCAACACAGTTTCCAAGTCTGAATATATAATATTTAATAAGCATATTCACACTTCTCATCAAAATATATTAAAGTAAACAAATTAAATTTCCTCAATCGGAGGACACATCTATCATCCAATTTCTCTCGGATAGCATAAAAGAATATTTAATAAAAGAAACATCCTCAATATTTTTTAACATCTTCAATATTTAAATTAATATTATATTAAATAATATACAGGGTGTTAAAAAAAAACCATTCAATGGTGTTCCACATGTCCCCCTTCCATTTCCATCCGCAATCGCCGGTTGATGACAACTGTCTGATTGTCGGTGAAATCTTCTGTTATGAAGTATGTATGGAAATTGAAAGCGGATATCTCAGAAACGGTTGAGCTTTCGACCTATGTTTACAAAGATTTTTGTACTCAGTATAGTGTGTCCTATCTACCATATAAATATTAAATGGTTTTTTTTTTTTTAACATCCTGTATATTGTGCATGTAAAGATAATTACAATAATTTATTGAAATATTAAATAAAGATCTGTTCTGTTAATATTAAATAATTTAATGCCAATTTAAAACAATTTTTCAAATATTATTTCAATTCAACAGCATTTCAGATATAAATATAATTAAAGATCTAAGAAGGGAGAAGATGCGTTCTTACGAAAGTCCTAAAAAAAAATAAATTATTAAATTCCGATTCCAAAGAATTAATTTTCTTCGTAGATACTAAATTTCTACCAACCCCATATACAGCCCAAGAGAAAAATTTCGCTTGCGCCTATGTAGACGGCGGATTCGAGGGGAGAGAGATGCGCGAATGAGGGCGTGATGTATGCGCGGGGAAGCTGCGATCCGGCAGGCGTTGATTTGATGCCGTGTAACTCGATAGACGCGAATTCCTCCCCGTGAGACAAGACAAGGGAGACGTCGTGTCGTGTCTAAACGAGTCGTTCCCTCAATCGCTCGCCCCCCCTCCCCCCATCCTGGGGCCGCGACACACGCGGCGTATAATTGGGGGGGGGGGAGGTATAAAAATCCGATCGCGCTCAGCCGTAATTTCGTAGATGCCTCGTGGTGGCAGCCAGCTTGTCATAAACCGGATTTACCGTCGGGGTTCGTAAAGTTTATGAGGATCGGCGAAACGGTATATGGCGGGTGGAAAGGAGAGACGGTGCTGTGCACGGGAAGGGGGGAGGAGGGAGGATGGGAGAGGGGGAGAGAAAGAAGAGGTCAACAGGGAGTTGAGGGAGAAGAGGCGTAGGAGGTAGAAGAAAGGTCCTGAAAAGTTGGTTTCATGGAACCACGCGAATTGTATAAATATGTTATTGATATACGAGTGTCGAGGGGAGGATATATTGGCTCGAGGTGAACTCTACCCGGAAACCGGTATCCAGGTTCAAGGAACACACGGGATTCGAGCTGGGAAAATCAGACGCGACCTGATTGCAACATCGCCATTTTCATAAATCGATATACCGTGTCTGGAAGATACGAGCGTTGTTGATTTATGTATATCTCGTGATATATTCGAACAAATATACGCGTCGAATTGCAATCAAATCTTTCGACGTAAGAGATAATGGAATGTCGATCAAACATGCAGAAACTAATACATGATATTATACACGCTAATTTCTCACATTTTTATAATTATAAATTTGTTACTTTTTTAAAAATAATTTATAATTTATAATTTACAAGAAATATGATTATTTAAATCCCAGTATCCCAATTTTCTAACACTAATTTCACACTTTCATAATTAATTTGTTACATTTTTTAAGTAATCTATAATTTATAATCTATAATTTATCATTTGCTAGATGTGATTATTTAAATTCCAATATTTCAATTTTCTGATTTAATTCGACCTCATGTATTGCATAATCTTCCAGTATATAATTATTTTGATAAACGTAATGTACAGTAAGCCGAATAATACAAAAATGCAAATAATGCAAAAATAAAAACCAAAAAACTAGATAAATTTTTTTCGGTTTTCTTACCGCATGTATTATATGTCAACGTGGATCCACGTCGCTCACGTCTTGGTGTTTGGCGATTCGAGGGCGGTCCGGGAGGCGCGTGTCGTTGTCGGAGGCCCGTTCGGGAATTAGCTCCGGGCGTACAAGGGCGTACGTAACGCAATTAACGAGCCGACAATTAATAACCCGGCGTTATAGATGCCGGCGGGATCGTTCGATCGCGTCTCGCATGAAATCGCGCGTACCCCCTTCGTACGTGTAAGTGTGACGCACTGCCCCTACCTAAGCCTTGCACGTATATCTCGCTCTATCAGCCTCCTCTCCACTTTCCCTCCCTCTCTCTCTCTCTCTGTCTCCCGCACCGTTTGTCCCCTTCTCCCTCTCTACCCTTGTATCCGCAGACTCGCTTCCCTTTCCCTCGCGCGCGCACCTAAAACGCAGGAAAGGGAACGTAATAGCCTTGCATGATACACCGCCATTAATCCGTGTATATACCCTTCCATACTTTGGAGGAATAGACACCTCGTACGCCTCGGTTTCATAGCCGGTTCATCAGCCGGATATCTCCCCGCTTTCTTTCTCTCTCCGTCTGCCTTCTCTCGCTCCTTCCTGTCTCTTCCTCTCACTACCGATGATTTAATTTCGGTGCGCACTCTCCTCGCTACGACGCGACTTGAGACTTCTATATCGTACGAATCAATCGATTTTATCGAAAAAATATATAAATAATTATAATAATAGTTAAATAATTATAATAAAAGATTTAAAAAAAAGAAAAAAAATTAATTTGAGTGTACACACGCTCTCATAATTCCCTTACATATATATTTTCTTTTAAACCCAATTTTTCTCATAAATCCAACATACTTGAATTATTTTCTATTTAAATATTTCCGATATCATTAATGATTCTTATTTTATATTTCATTATCGTTTGGTATATCCTAAAAAAATTGTTACATAAATTATTCCTTTACCATAACAAAAAATGTCCGATTCGATATAATAGACTTTTCATTTCGATATACCGAATTGTGATTCGAACGTTTCTATTTTCGTCGTATCATCCGCTTCCGCTATATTTCATCGGAAATAATATACGAAACCATTTGCAGTTCTTCCCGTCAAAAATGACGTCCAATCGTATCGTTTTCCTGACAGACAATTCCAATCACGGATCGTCATTCGGTAGCACGCCCGTTTCTCTTCTCTGTCTCCTCATTCATCTCTCCATCTGTCGTGCACTCACACCACCAACCGTCGATCAATCGTGAATCGTATATGGTCTGCTTATGGCAGGTGAATGTATCGCGCAGATAATATCGCTGCGCTCGAAATGGAGTCGATCGTTTATAATCGCTGACTTAGCATATCGCGCTTGATTGGTCCTTAGACTAGAGATTAGAATCAATAACTTCAACCGGCAATCCTTTTTTTTTTTCTCTATTTACGCGCGGATTGACATAATGACGCTTTGCATAAGTGCCGTTTAGAGATAAGTATCGTTTACGCGGACGAATATGCCATAGAGAGGATGGTAATAGTTAAAATTTAATATAAATAAATTGAAAAAAGAGAAGAGTATATATATCTAGAGAATTTTAAATAAAAAAATAATAGGGGTTAATTCAGGGAGTTATTAAAATATATATAAATTTCGATGTATATATAAATTTATATTCAATATTTGGCGGTTAATTCGTTGCAATTATAAATACATATACAGAACGTATATATTGTCAACTAGTCAGACAGCCATAACTCGCGATGCGTGCTCCTGTTACCAAGGACTTAACATATTGCAAATCGGTTAAATATTTAACGCGACTCGTCACTGCGTTGTTTATTTTTCAAGTGTACAAATCAGCTGCGAGAGATCTCATATGGATTTCTCCGCCACGGTTAACGAATTGAGACGATCGATCGAAAGAGCGAGGAGGAAGCAGGTGTCCCTCCTCGCCACGGCACGATAAATACGGGCGCGAGCGCGCCGAGTCGATATGCATTTTTAAAATTCTGTTGCGTCCAAATGAGATCGTAAATACGGGCTGTTCTACGTAATGAGCGTTCCAAGTACTCACCTGTAGGAACATTTCGCCGTCGAGGTGATGATGGTCGTAAGCAGCGAGCGCTGCCAGCTCTCTCGCCCTGTAGTGCGAGTCGTGGTGTGAATTCTCCTCCTTATCCTTGTGCATTACCACTGTAACACAGAATAAAGGAAATTATAAAGATATGAGTTTACGGTAATGCAAGTCAGTCCATAAACAATCCGCAAGTTGTCGAAAAGTGTCCGTGATTGTATTTATGATCTGTAAACTCGTATTTTAAATCGACGCTTTTATTTCTTCGACAATATTTGAAAACAATATTTTATTTGAAGACAATATTTTATTCTTTTATTTTTCCTTGAGAGAGACTTATATTGTAATATAATTAAGTTGATCTGTTTTATTTTTTATTTTTTTTAATTGGATTTATATAACTATAATTAATATTCTATAAATGTATTGCTGCTTTAGCTATTCTATACTAAATAAAATGTATAAATATATTTTTTTATATTAAAATTTTAATATGTGTGTAACTTCTTATTCAAATATACTATTTATTAAACGTACCAGCTACCTATTCATTTTAATAATAAATGACACGCGTCTTTTATGATTTTACTAAGACTATCTGTACGCTGATCGGACTAATTTCTAATGTTCTTTTACAGAGAGTCCCATCGTCTCGAAATGGCAAAAGTGCACAAAAAACAGCCACTCCCGTATTATAAAAAAAGGCGCATTAACGTAGTAGTACACACAATGTTGAGTGTAACAAAAACCGTCGAGAAAGAGAGAGGATAATTTCGACGATGCAATTAAATTTCAATCAGGCGACCTCGTCCGCGAATCTTAATAAGACCCTCACCCCCGCATCTTTTTCCCGCCTTTTTTATCACGTCGGCCACAAATCACGGGAATGATTAGAGAGTTAAGCGGACGACCCGTCATTCCTCGACACACGAGTGCGAAAACGAGAGAACCCGCACTCTCGTGCAATCTACGGTAATCACAATCAGCTTTACGATTTTTTTATTCCGCGACGACGATGGGTAAAGTTTCTTGTCGTCTCCAAAAAACTCACACTGCAATTGATTTTTTTTATTACTTTATAAGTAAAACAATTTTTTTTTTCTTTTGCTACATATTAACTACGTATATTTATATTATGTAAGCAATATTTAGCTTATTTTTTAAGAGAGATTAAAAATAAAACCGAGATAAGAGAGCGCGATTACGATGACATCTCAGCCTGTATTTTTAAGTTATTTAATATAAAATAAAATTTAAAACAATTTGAAAAAAACATCTTATATAAAGAAAAAGGGGGACCAAAAATATACGATGGAATGGACAGTCGATTTATGCGCGACGTCGCATGAAAAATATTCATCGGCGATTTGCACAGTCGATTTCAGATCCCGATTGGAGATTACAGCCGGCAAAAAAATGACAACGAGGGAATTTATATCCTATGGAAAATGTCTTGATAAGAGCGAAGATGTATTTTCGATGCTTTGTCTGGTCGATAATCAGTATCGAAGCACATAAATTCGATACGCTTTATCGTTACGCCATGTGTTAACTAACTGGATTAAATGTCATTAAAGTCAGCCGTGTAACACATCGGGCCGTTATCAGATTTATCATATTATACGCTGTAATGTCGGTTAGAGTTTGCAGATTTTTATAAAAGATTAAACTGACGAAAGATGATGTCGGCGAAGGGCAACTGAAAGGGTGACGGACACTTTTTGCCGTCGCGCAAATTTATATTTCTCGGCTGCATAATTAAGGCAATTACTGTCAAAAATATAAATTTGTCCAATGTTTTTATCTAGATTCAATGATCCATATCAGCATTGCTCGCCGTGTTTAAAAATCGATAAGCATTCTTATTCCAATTTGTGATAAACGTAAGTCACGATGCGATGCCAGATATATTATTACGAATTTATATACTTGAGAAGTGTTGAAAATAGTCCAATATGTATATATATATATTATTTTATATACAAATTTCTAGCAAATTTTATTAAAAAAAAATACACATTTATTTTTTATTTTTACCTTTAAAATGCCGTGGCTCTAAATCTTCGCATTTGAATACAGATTTGTTATATATTTGTTAATCTGTCAATGCTATAAATTATACTACGAATCATGGTAGTTATAAATCTAGAACGAAGGTTTTGTTTCAGAGTCGCGCAGAGTTGAACCGCCGGTGACTTTAACGCGACCGGTTTATTATTTAACACGACGTTGGTCTCGTGTATTCTAATTACGGCGCGCATATTAAGCAGAAGGCAAGCAGGTGTATGGAACTGTAACAGATCGACGGTGTATTATAGGGTTTAAGAGGAAGTGTCGTTCACATCCTGTCACGTACGTACCGCCGCTGTCGTTCTTTGAGCCCGTCGTTAATCCGTTTGCGCTTAAGTTGTTCGGGTATCGACGGTCCTTGAATCTCTTGGAGAGAAAGGAAGCGCGCACAATGAAAAGTTTCAACAAAATTCACAATCCACTTTTATAATACATTATTTACCAACACGCAAAATTACTCTACATCGAATACAAAAGAAGCGTTTGTATATAAATGTGTTGTGTTTAATTGTGTTTATCTTAAGATGTAAACATTTAGATATAAATATATGTATAAAATCCTTTTTTCTATTCATTACTCGCATTAATTTATCGAAATAATATCAAGTATCGCGTTCAACTTAAAGCGCAAAAATAAATCTTATTAATCTTATATCATTTATAAATTCTAATTAAATTCCTTTTATTTATTCATTTGTTCACATCTATACCCTCGTACTTTGAATTCCTCGCCATTTGTTGCCGACACGCGTCGCGATGACAGATGACGAGACATTTCTGCCTTTCAATTGCTATCTCGCGATATAAATCGAAGCTTCGTTCAATTATTGATCTCTCCTTCGAAAATCCATTGATAAGCGACTTGCCTCATCTCGAAAAGGAAATCCGACTCTACTTCTCAACAGGTGTAATAAGATCATCCTACAGCTTCAAGATGCGAGCGATCGGGGTTGTCGATGCGCGTTTTACGAGCTAATAATCTTTCGGAAGGCGTTTAATATCAAAGAGTATCAATGCGTGCACGAAAGATGCGCCGAGGGCTGTGCATAAAGAGTGATGCACGCGATACAAGTGTATGCCACGCGACCCTTTGGGCAGCGACTGATCCGAATGATCAGCAGAATAATGGCGTCGAGAGAATTTCAAGGATTTTAAGTCACGGAGATCTCTTACTTTACATCAGACACTTGCACAATCGAGAAAATCATATGAATTATCGACTTGCGGATAAAGAATGACGCAATGATATTGAAAAGAAATTCGCATATGTTTTGAGGAGAAAAATAATTTTGCACTGCGTGTAAAAATAACTGTCGGTGAAAGCTGAAAAGAGAAATGCAGCGTTACACAGCATTTATGCAAATTAAAAAGCATATTCGAAAATGTATAAATAAAATTTGTTAAAAAAGTGTCGATGGTTGTATGATTATCTAATCATATTTGTAAATTATTCTATTAATTGTTAAACTTTCATCAGAAATTTTATAATATTTATATATCACATTATGATTATCTAATCATATTTGTAAATTATTCTATTAATTGTTAAACTTTCATCAGAAATTTTATAATATTTATATATTACATATTAATATTTTTAATTATATATTATAATTATAATATTTATTATTAATATTATATGTATAATAAAAATAATAAAAAAAATTACTTTTCCTTTTTTTCATATATCCTATGTCATTCATTCTATTTTCCAATCATTATTTAAAATATTATAATAACTAAGATTGCAAATGACCACAAAAAGGATGCTGCAACAAAAAAGCAAGAAGTTTTCGAAATTTACCTTCGTGTAACCAGGTCCTTCTTTTTCTCATAACATTAAACTAAAATGCGTTAATAAATTTTGTACTTAAAGGACGTTTATAGTATCGCGGTGTAGTGTACAAGGGAGATGTACGAGAGCAGAGCGATGGTTACTCGTAAATAGCCGCACGCAATGTCGTGAAGCGACTCGTCGTGTCGCGTCGTGCCACGCGACCCTCTGTGACAGGATCCATTAGAACGACCGTCGGAATGACCGCAGAATACGCGAACAACACGACGAATCCGCGGGTATCCTGGGGTCGCACGTGCGTATCCGACCCGCCGTCGATCAATTCGATTTTCGATTGTCGTGAATCCGGATAGGGCCGTTCATTCGGGACTAATGACCATGTCTAATGTTTTCTGAAACAACAGCTTCTTCGCGCAGGATGTTTGTAGTTACAACGACAGGGGAAAGCGGAAATATCCTTGAAGGATATGTGTCGAATGGTGCAAAAGGTTCCTGGGGCTTTTAAAAAATAAAATGATGAATATATTAAATAATAACTATTTTTAAAAAAAGCGATTATTTGTACGATATTCTCGTTTTCAATCAGATTTGATAACTCGAGTAGACAAAGAACGTACGTGAGCTTCGTGACGAAGAAAAAGCGTTATTTAAAGACCGACTTTGCAATCATTATCGCGTAAAGTTTTAATTACATACGTACACCTCGAGATGTTAACTTAATTCCCGCGTGTCTTGTCACGTATATAATCACAATTAAAACACGATTATATATCGATAACGCGGAACCAACTATAGCCACCGGTGGAGTAAGAAAGAAAAAGGAATACGCGAACCTCGCCGGAAAAACGCTCGTGGACGACGCGGGCGACAGGCGCAATCGTTGGTGAGATAACGCGACAAAGGAAGAAAAAAAAAAAAGAACGGAAAATAACGCGATGCGGATACAGATGCAATCTCGTCGCGGCGAGAACGGAGAACTCTGGTGGAATTCTGGTAGAAAGGTCGCGCCATCGCGATGCGCCACGCCGGTGCAATCAGCGATAATAATTACACTTCTTCCGGCAAGGTCAGTGTTTATGAACATATATCTATATATATATACTATATATACACGCGCCGGAGAACGCAGGAAGTGGCGGGATCTAAAAGCGGAGGTGGAGGCCAATCAGAAACACCGTGCAAACTTTCAGCGAGCGAGAATGGCGCCCTGAGCGGAATGCCCTATGTGCATATACATTGTACAAAATTTTCTAA